ACATGGATTAACCATAGGTGTACCTATGTCCCCTCCCTCTTGAGACTCCCTCCTACCTCCTGGCATGCCCACCCCTCTAGGTTATTACAGAGCCCCAGCTTGAGTTCCCTGAGTCAGGCAGCACATTTCCATTGGCTACCGTTTGCATATGTTGATGTATTTGCTTCCATGCTACTCTCTCCATGTACCTCGCCCTCTCCCTCTTCTTCCCACCTTGCCCATAAGTCTGTTCTCTGCGTCTGAGTCTCCATTGCTGATCTGTGAACAGATTCATCAATACCATCCTTCTAGATTCCATATATATGCGTCAATATATGATATTTGTTTTTCTCTTTCTGACTTACTTCTCGCTGTAGGTAGGCTCTAGGTTCATCCATCTCACTAGAACTGACTCAAATGCATTCCTTTTTATTGCTGCCAACACTCTTAATGCCATTGATTGTACTGAAGCTTCCCACATCCTGAAATCTAAGATCTTGCTCTTGCTAAAACCCCAGTATGCGAATATCTGGGGGAAAGAATGTTCAGATGAAAAGAACCAAACCGTTAGCTTGAAATGTGCCTGGAGGGCTTAAAGATTAGGGAGACCAGTGTGGTGGACGGTGGGAAGCAAGTGAGAGGAGAGACCTAAGTCCTGAGGAGTGAATGAGACAGAGCAGAAAGCCATTGCAGGGCGTTGGCTTCAGTTACGGGTAAAGTGGAGATCCTCTCGAGCAGAGAGAGACATGATTTGTCTTGTATTTTAAGTCTGGTTGCTATATTGAGGAACAAGGGTGGAAATATGGAAGGCAGTTAGGGTTTCATCACAATAATCCAGTTGATGGTGCAAAATAATAGGATGAAGCTGGAGAGGTGTTTGCTTTCTGGAGATTTATTTTGACAGTAAGTTCAGCCATTCAAGTAGGCTGAGATTTCACTACATATAAACAATGTCCATATTCGTCTCTAAATGACTGATCCTATACCATATGTATCATTGTTTCAAAGCTTTTCCATCCTTCCTAACTTCCAAACTCCACCTTCACATGACCTCTACCAGTCTCCTCTTCCATAAACTCATTGATTTATTTTATTTTATTTTATTCATTTTTTTCCATTAAATTCATTGATTTAGTCAGTAAACAAAAACAAAAAAACTTGCAATGGGGATGGTGATGTACTAGGCGTTAGACAGACAGCAGATGCTCAGTAAGCCAGACCTAGGTTCCTACCCCTATGCTTTGTGCTCTGTGCTGCTAAACTCAGAAATGCAAATAGGCAGAGAGTGATGAGTGACAGGTAAAGGACGTGTGTTCCTGGTTTTCCTCAGTTTTCTGCCCTCCATCTCAGAATACATCGTCCTAATCCTCTCTCCTTTCCTTTCATTATCAGAGAACGATCTGCTTCTACTACACCAGGGCAACCACATCCTTAGTGGTCCTAATGGAGTCTTGGATCTTGGCGCATATGTTATGCCCATTTTCACTTTCGGTCACCCTGCCCTTTTAACTCTCTCTCTCTATCCTTTGAAAGTGAAAGTGAACGTTAACGTGAAATCACTCAGTCATGTCTGACTCTTTGTAACCCCATGGACTGTAGCCTACCAGGTTCCTCCATCCATGGGATTTTCCAGGCAAGAATACTGGAGTCGGTTGCCATTTCCTTCTCCAGGAGAGCTTCCCGACCCAGGGATTGAACCTTGGTCTCCCACATTTTAGGCAGATGCTTTACCATCTGAGCCACCACCCTCCCTAATCTTTATTTTATCTTTTGATCATGCATGCGGGACCTTAGTTCCCCAACCAGAGACTGAACCCCTGAAGTGGAAACACGGAGTCTTAACCCCTGGACCACCAGCAAGGCCCACTGCCTGATCTTCAAGTGATTCCTCCTTTGACATTTGCAAGCATTAATTCATTCAGTAACTCAGCAAGTATTTAATGAGTGGTGATATCCAATTCCCCACTTACTTCAGGTCTGTACTTTGGCAGCTGGATGTGGTCAGAGAAAAACACACAACCATAGTGACAAGTCTCACTTTCAATTCATGGTCATTAGCCTCGAGCTGCCTTGCAATCCACTACACTTCTAGCTCATTCCCTCTGCCGTCTCCTAGACGATAGTTTTTCACTTCGATCCTGAAACTTTCAATACTTCCTCCTCTATTCTCCTCTTAGTTGATGACTTTGCTCCCTATTTCACCGAAAAATGGAAGTGATTGGAAATAAGCTTTCACAAGCTTCCACTATTGAACACACTGATCTACCTGCATTTATTCCCAGATACTTGGCTGTCTCTTCTGCATATCATGTGTGTGGTGTGTGTTCATATCACTATCTAATGCCAAAGTTAGGTTTGGATCCTGAAGAAAACAGTGACACCCACTTCCAGTGAGTGATCAAGTCACGTTAAACAGTAATATCCATTCAAAAATTTTACTGCTAACATAGTATCATATTAGGAGGGTGATGGAAAGTGAAGGCAATATAAACAGACATCCATTTGACATGCCTTTGTGTGTTTCAATAATTGCATAATATTTAACTACAGACCATTGTTTACAACCATCTGTATACAGAATTTCCAGTGCAGGTAGAAAAGACTGTCACCTAGCTCCTTGAATTTGGACAGAGATGAATCTTAGATGTGTATTTTTTTCACTTATTCTGTCACCAACATTCCTGTATACTTTATTGTGCAAAAGTATTTATATTATCTTTAACAAATCTTTTAATTTTTACAATTTATAGGCATATTTGTTGCAATACAGAAAGAAAACAGGATTCATGTCCAAGTTTCTAAAGTATTAGGTGTAGATTTCGCACAAGACACCCACCAATGGGCTCTTTAATTTTTAAATAATTAGGCAATTTTTGTTTTGGTTTATATTATATAGGTATTCTTGATAGATTGCTAAACAGATTTCCAAATATTTCTGACATTATCTGTAAAAATTAGCTATTTTTAGTTAATTTTTATTTATTTAAAAGATTAATATGTTTTCTCTTATAAAATAATTAAAATAATTGATATTCAAAATTTTACTACCCCTGACCCTCCAAAAACTACTGCTTTCCAACCAGCACACTGTCAGGGATAGATTAGATTTAAATAATGAGAGACGTCACTGTTTGTGTTATATACGTATTTACTGATTACTACAGTATAAACATTATGGGGCTAGAGACATCCAGCACATATAGGAACCGCTCAGAAAGTACCAGTAGAATGAATAAAGTCATGAACGAGTGCCTGTTATTCACCAAATAGCATGATAAGCATTATAGGTATAAACATGATGAGACAGACATGGTTTCTGTTAATTTAAGTTTAAATTGATCCTTGAAAGAGGTTTTTAAAAATAGTCACATAAGGCAACTGAACTTTTAAATTCTTTGCATTTTCTCTACTTTTTAATCTCCAAAAAAGAAGTCAGCTGTGTTGTCTTAACTGATGATTTTGTTGCCCAGATAACAATGTTATTATGGATGTCATTGACAATCTTTGGTCCTAAGTGGTATAAATACATATAAGAAATCTTTGTGAAGTCAAAGGAAAATCTTGGCTTGTCTCTTCTCCCAGATGCTAGATTTTTAAATTCAAACCAAGTTTAAGACTGTGTCTTTCACTTATATTAGCAAACAATGACGTGATAACATTTAACTAAACAGGCAGAGAGTTGAGAGTCAAAAAAAGTATTTGCTGGCCAGTTCAAAAAAATCCCTTGTGGCTAAGATGGTAAAGCGTCTGCCTGCAATGTGGGTGACCCGTGTTCGATCCCTGGGTTGGGAAGATCCCCTGGAGAAGGAAATGGCAACTCACTCCAGTATTCTTGTCTGGAGAATCCCATGGACAGAGGAGACTGGTAGGTTATAGTCCATGGGGTTGCAAAGAGTCCGACACGACTGAGCGACTTCAATTTCACTTTCTTTCAAAAAATCCAGCAAAGAAAAAAGGAATCAACTTCCTTTGGTTTCAGGTTTTGTTTGTTTGCTCTGTCTTTAGACAACATAGAACAATGTCAACTTGACTGAACTACAGTCTCCAGAATTCTCTTTAGAGAATGTTTCTGGTAAGGATGAGGCACAAGCGACATTGTCTCTTGAGAGCTGAAGGCTCTGTTCATACACATACGGGCCTCATCAGCCAGGAGGGCACTGCTCATATTTTCGACTCACAGTGACAAGAGGGCAGACGGTGACACCTCAAGCCCCAGCCAGGAAAATACAGCAGACAAAGAGCTGTCCTTCACCAACCCCAGACAGGGAGCCTGGCACTTCCCCAGTTGGGCTGCCATGTTCCATAACAGCTGTTACCTCCCTCTGTGTCCTGTTATGGGTTTCTTAGAGATTACATACTAGCCTCTTGCACCAAACACTCTCACTCCCACTCTGAGGCATCTCCAGAATTGGCTTGGGGAAGCACAAACTCCTCTCTACCAGGATTGCCCCTATCTCAGGATCCAACTTAGATAATATACCTCTTGTCTTCGAGGCTGAGAGGGCTTTCAATTGCCCTGGAACTGAGAGCTCAGCACAGCCACTCAGCGTGGTGGAAGGAGCCCAGACCCCCCAAGCGATTCGGTGGGGCTGATCTGTCAGTTTTGAGGCTCAAGGGCTTTGGACATGAGCTCAAAGGATTTAATTTCTGACACATCTTCTATCTGGCTCATCAGGGACCATCCTGAGGGAATGACCATGAAAATACCATGGTCTAGGCTGGAAGAGCACCTCTAATGACACATCTTCCAACCGCCAGGAGACCTCCATCCTGGAGCTCCACACCCTTCAGATGACCTTCCATACCCTTCTTCTCCAGATGACCCTGCCTCAGCCCTTCGCCCCTGACAGCAGACACCAGGCAGATCAGAACTGCCTGTTTCCTCAGGCTTGCAAAACCAGGGAAATGACCTGTGGATGAGGACAGCCATCGGTGTCCAGTAAGTCACCCTTTGCAGATCCGTAGGAGAAATGACCTGCAGGGATTCTCCCCGGGCACCAGTCCAGCTGTCATCCTCACCCCCTGACCCACCCAGGGATGGCTCAGTATAAATACAGCCACCCCTCCACAGCAGGCAGGGACCAGCAGCCCTGCTCCACTGGGGATCAGGTGAGGAACTACTTCAAGGAGACATTTCTTTGAAAACATTTGCTTTAAAACATAACTTTTCTGATTTCTATTTCTCCTATATGCAGTCAGTGCTGGCAGAGTGGTGCATGGGAAATGCTTTTTGATTAATGACAGACTGCTTTAGTAAGACACAACTTGGACCCAACTGTCCTCTTCTTCCACCAAAGCCATCTGGGTGACCTCTTAGACAGTCTTGGGTTCAGGGTTGGTGGGTTCAGAATTGAGGGCGTGAGGCTGCCAGCATTGTCCTACTGCAGTGTTTCCTAGTAGGACCTAGTAGAGTCCTAGTAGGACTCTCATTTCCACTGAGAGTCTAGTGGAAATGAACAGCCAGGCTCTCCTTGACATACAAACCCCAAAGTGGAGAGGGGTGAAAGTCTCGTTGGTGTCTCCCTGACCCTCTCGTTTCCTTTCAGCACAATGAAGCTCTTCACAGGCCTCATTCTCTGCTCCTTGGTGCTGGGAGCCCACAGCCTGCTTTCCTTCCTTGGTGAGGCTTTTGAAGGTAAAACTGATGGAGGGGCGATGGCATCCTTGGGTCTCTAGGCTTCACCCAAAACCCTGAGGGTTGGAGCTGCAGTGTTAGGAGATGTTGCCCTATGTGGCACAATGTGCCAGGTGTTAGGGGAGTATTTTCAGAGATTGGAAAGCACAGGATTTATGTCAATCAGGTACTAGAGAAAGAATGAGCATCATTTCCAGCTGAAATATAAGTATGAATGGAAGACACAAAACAAGTCTGAAATGGAACGAAATTTCCCTCAGACCAGTTGCACAATGTAGGGTGAAAGCGATCCATGTTCTCCTCTCCTGTCCCTCCATCCCTACTCCTCCCTCCCTCCCTTCCTCTCTTCCTTCCTTCCATTTCCTAGTTGGATGATTCAGGGGCCTTCAGAACACTTTGTTGGTCCTACCCATACTCGGTGATGCTGTCCTTGCTTTAGTCTGTTTCCTACCATTTCCTAGCCACTAAATATAAAGGTGTGTGTATGTGTGTGTGTGTGTGTGTGTGTGTGTGTGTGTGTGTGTGAACCTAATATCATATGAAAACCTCCACCAGGAACTCGGCTCTTATGTGCAATTTAGAGGGACCCACTTTCCTTCTCTGCCCAGGGCTGGGGAGTTTTCCAGGACATTAGCAGCACTATCTGGGGCAGTTTCAGGAAGACAGAGGCAGTACCGGTCAAGCTGGGACAGTTGGTCATATATTACCTGCAGAAAACCTCCGTGAGGGGGCATCTTCCTCCACCTGAAGGGGAGAAAACCGAGGCTTAGAGCAGCCGAGTCCGTCGCCCAGGGACTGAGTGCCCGTCAGCAGGCGGCAGGACAGAGGTGGGAACCCAGCTGTGCTTGAGGCCAAGGCTCTCACCGACTTCTCCCAGCACCACTTCCTGAAGCCAGGGGCTAATCCATCTTGGCCGCAGTTTGGAGTCACCTTGGGAGCCATGAAAACTGTTGCTGCCTGAGACCAGCCCGGAGACGGGGAGGTGACTGGCCTGGGCTGGGAGGGCTCAGGGGACTTTCAGGGTCTCCCCAGATTATTGGACAGTGCAGCCAGGCTGAGGAAAAGACCCACTTCCTCAAGCAGCCCACATCACCAGTACCATCCACTAGAGAGTTCTCAGGATTCCTTTCACTCACCTACCAGGCAGGGGAATCAAGTCACAAGTGATCCTTTCGTGAGGCAGGAATACATTTCTTAGGCGTCAGAGCAGAGGAGTATGTCTGCCCTTTCTCAGAATCTGTCTCGCACGTCACCTCCTCACTCACCCACGTGCCCCAGAGCTTACCATATACAACTTCCTCTAGGGCAGTGGCTCTGGACCCAGGGCAAATTTGTGTCCTGGGGACATTTGGTGATGCTTGGGTGCATTTTCAGTTGTCACACTAGGGTATAGTTTCAAAGGTCAAGGATGCTGCTAGACATGTTATAATATCCAGGACAGCCCTGACAGCAACAATGTACCTGGTCTCACATTTCAATAGAATGCTGTTGAGGATTCCTGTCCTGTAATGATGCCTCGCTCTGTCCTTAAACATATCAGGTAGAGTCCTCACTGAGACACAGCACAGAGACAGCATCACAGGCGTCAGACAAAGGGGTCCCACAGACGTAGCCCTCCCCCACCCCACCCCAATGGCGCTCATTCCAATACCAGGAGCAGGCAACTGGGCATAAGGAATGCTCTTCTTACCCTATGGCATTTGTGGTGCTATGAGCACAGGCTGAAACCGAGTCAGTGGAAGATTCTTTATTCTTTGATTCTTCTGTAAGCTGGGTCACAGTTTTCTCTCCACCTGATAATCCTTACTCCATGTGCTTTGCTTTCCAGGGGCTAAAGACATGTGGAGAGCCTACTCTGACATGAGAGAAGCCAACTACATAGGTGCAGACAAATACTTCCATGCCCGCGGAAACTATGATGCTGCCCAAAGGGGACCAGGGGGTGTCTGGGCTGCTAAAGTGATCAGGTACCAGGGTCTCTGGGTTACAGGGATGGGTGGGCAGAGTTTGGCTGCCTTGGACAACCTGGAGGGGCCAAGCCCTGGAGAACTTTCCAGTAGGGTTGTGGGCCCTCCTACTATTAAACACCCTCCTGCTCTGCGCCCAGTGTGAGGTCTGAGTGGGTGAAGAGCAGAGCAAGGCTGGTGGGACAGGTGACTCTCCACCCTCCCCCTTCGGGTGCTGTTTCCCCAGCACACAGGGGACGTGCAGGGCTGAGCGGGCTGAGCCCAGGGAGCCTCAGGGCTGTAGCCCCTCTTTCCTGGGCTCCTCTCAGAGTCACTGATCCCTTGGAAAGAGGAGAGAGGGGGAGGGTGGGGCTGGGGCTCATAGTCCTGGATTAATCCCCTCCCTGCCCTCCTCCTTTCTAGTGATGCCAGAGAGACTATTCAGGGGATCACAGACCCTCTGTTTAAGGGCATGACCAGGGAGGAGCTACGGGAGGACACGAAGGCCGACCAGTTTGCCAACGAGTGGGGCCGGAGCGGCAAAGACCCCAACCACTTCAGACCTCCTGGCCTGCCTGACAAGTACTGAGCTGCCTCTCAGACGGGGCTGAGAGTCTCCAAGACGTCTCCAAGAGTCTCCAAGTCTCCAAGTCTCCAAGAGTCTCTGAGACGGGGCTGTGAGTCTCCAAGGGCAGGGACACTGAGCTAGGGCGTCCTCTGTCCACAGAAGGCAGCGGATCTAATAAATGCTTAAGAGATGGAATACTGAGACTGTGTCATTCTTGGTATGAGGACAGCCTGTTGGTTCCAGGACTGATGGCAGGACAGCCACGTGAAGCTGAGCCTGTGCCTGTGTGTTTGTTTCCGGGACACCCCCTCAGCATCATTCAGGACAGACCCCTTGTCCAGCCTTCCCCTAATCAGACCCGCTCCCTCTCCAGGCCCCTCTGGTTCCCCCGGGGCCGTTTCCAGGCCCTTCTCGGTTCAGGCCTTCTCTCTCCCTAGCTGTGTCCTGCCACCTCCTCTGTCCCCGGTCTAGTCCCCCAGCTTGTCCTCGGTGCTGTCTGTGTGGTGTCAGGGACACAGTCCTTGAAGGCAGGACTGTAGAATTCTCTTGGGACTAAGCTACGAGCCACACATCACTTCCCTCCAAACAGGGAAAGAGGGTACCTGAACTCTGTCACCCCAGGAACTGAGACACGTCCCCAGAGCTGCCCAATAATTGTTTGTGGAACTGAACATGTTGATGGGAACTGGAGTTTTGAGTCAGACTCTGGGGAGGAAGGCATCCTGGTACCATATGGAAGGTGAAAGCTCTGTGGGGGATGAGCCTGTGACTGGAGGGTCCCAGGAATCCCCTGGTGACCTGGACCCCTGCCCTGTGCTCACATGGCCCCGTTGCGCCGTGGTACTCAAAGGACCCAGTTTCTCCTCCTGAGTAAGCCTGAACTGGGAGAGCACTGGCCATCACGCTGGGCTCCTCGGTGGCAGGGCCTGACTCGGGCACAAGCCTGGGAAGCCCCATGGCCTCTTCTTCCTCCCCAGTCACTGCGTTGCTGCTTCAGGCCTCTCTGGTTCCCGACTCTGCACTGCCCAGCCAGTTGCATCCTGACCCTGACAGACCCCCTGTCCAGCCTTCCCCTAATCAGACCCACTCCCTCTCCAGGCCCCTCTGGTTCCCCCGGGGCCGTTTCCAGGCCCTTCTCAGTCCAGGCCTTCTCCCTCCCTGCAGATGTGTCCTGCCACCTCCTCTGTCCCCAGTCTAGTCGCCCAGCTTGTCCTCGGTGCTGTCTGTGTGGTGTCCGGGACACAGTCCTTGAAGGCAGGACTGTAGAATTCTCTTGGGACTAAGCTACGACCCATACATCACTTCCCTCCAAACAGGGAAAGAGGCTACCTGAACTCTGTCACCCCAGGAACTGAGACACGTCCCCAGAGCTGCCCAATAAATGTTTGTGGAACTGAACATGTTGATGGGAACTGGAGTTTTGAGTCAGACTCTGGGGAGAAAGGCCTCCTGGCACCATTTGGAAGGTGAAAGCTCTGTGGAGCATGAGCCTGTGACTGGATGGTCCCAGGAAACCCCGGTGACCTGGACCCCTGCCCTGTGGTCACATGGCCCCGTTGCGCCGTGGTACTCAAAGGACCCAGTTTCTCCTCCTGAGTAAGCCTGAGCTGGGAGAGCACTAGCCATCACGCTGGGCTCCTCGGTGGCGGGGCCTGACTCAGGCACAAGCCTGGGCAGCCCCACGGCCTCTTCTTCCTCCCCAGTCACTGCGTTGCTGCTTCAGGCCTCTCTGGGTCCCGACTCTGCACTGCCCAGCCAGTTGCATCCTGACCCTGCCTCACTCCAGGCCTTATCCCCAGGGATCTCTTCCCAAATCAAGAAGGCACATTTGCTTTAGGAAGCCCAGTCTCATGACACCTGTCCTGGAAACTGCATCTTAAACTCTAATTATTTCTCATCAATACCAGGGCCAACCCCTGACTCAGCTGTTAATTAGTTTCAGCTCATTTTATCTAAGAAATCATTCTCAGATGAGTTTCCCTTACCTTTATCCTCACTACCTTTGGATCAAACAAAACACTATTTTCACTTCTAGAGTGAATGTTAGCTATTAAGATACACACTTCCAACACAGTTTAAGAGGAGCCTCCTCAGAAGCACAGACCAATGGTGATGCAAAGTCTTCTGGGGTGTGGGAAGCTGGGGCATAGTAATTATAGAGGCCACCACTTTCTTTCATTGCAAATCTAACTCTACATGCTTTATTTGATTTGCCACAAAGGCTTTGCAGTTCTCACTTGAAGAAATGAGGCTTAGAGGTAAGTGATCTGGACTTTGCTCAAGGTCACACCTGCAGTAGGTGAGCAGCCAGGACTGCAGGCTGGTGAGGCTGACTGCAGGAGGACAGGGATGTGCTGTCAAGACTGAGGTTCAGAGGTGGGGACTCTCTCTTCCACGGATCTCTGCACGAGAGCCCTTGTGCTCAGGAGATGCCTGACTGGTTACAGACACACCACAGCTTGTTCTCATCATGGGAACAGTGCCTCGCGGAGTCCTTGCCCTCTGTATCTGATTTCTTAATAAAATCTCACATTGAAAACCCAGCCTTCAATCCATGTCACTCTTCACTCTTTCACCTTTTCCTCTTCCTCTTTATCGTCAGACTTGAGAGTGGGTCCACCTGCATGTTCTGCTTCCTCACTTCTGACTCACACTGGGACCCACACCAGCCTGACCTCTGTCCCCACCGCTCAGCAAAACAGCTCTGGTCACCAGTGACCTTCAAGGTTCCAAGATAATTGACATGTTTCTCTTCCTGTATCCGGAGGACTCTGAGCCATGCTCAGCACAGTTGTCCTCCCTCCTATCTGGAAGCAAACAGTATCTATATGTTGATGGCTCTGAAAATTATTTCTCCTCCTCAGAACCTCAATTCTGAGCTCCATGCTTATATATCTGATTGGCGTCTAGACATCTCTGAGTGGGGTGACTTCCAGAGATTTCACACTCAATGTGTCCCAGAGTGAGCTCTCATCTCCCCCACCAGAATTCTTCACACTCAGGCCCCTCCATTTAAGTAAATGATCCGATTAGTCCCTCTGTTGCTCAGTCCAGAAACTGAGGCATGACCTTGATGCTTCCCTTCCCTTTACCCCACATCCAGTCCACTAACAAATCCTGTGATTCAACTTCCAAAATTCATCTCTAATCTATCAGCCTGCTCTCATATGCATCTCTGTGCTCCTGGCCACACCATTTCTCTCCTGAGTTCCTGCAACAGCTGTCTAATCAGTCTCCCCATCTTCATGGCTTCCCCCTCTGCTTAAGTTGACTGTATAATTTTTCTTCTAAACCGAGTCACTTTCCACTGAGGAAAAGGGCATTATTGATGATTATACATGGATGGCAGGAATAAATTGAAACCGTCCTGGGTAAAAGAGAGCCTGTGTTTACCCTACCTCTCAGTCTAGCATACAAATTATATTCAGATCATATCTCTTCCCTGCTTAAAATTCTTCCATGGGTTCCCATTTCCCTCAGAATGTAATCCAGTGTGAGCTGTCCCTGGCCACCCTCCAGCATCATCTGATGCCACACCCTCCCCGGCTCCCTGCGCTTCCATCTCACCAACAAGCCAAGCTTTTATTTGGCACAGGACCTTTGCATATGACTTTTTCTCTGCTCAGAACACTCTTCTGCTCATTCTTCACATCATTGTGTTTCTCACCTGACTCTCCTCAGATCACTCTTTCTTGAGAGAGGCCTTCCTGGTCATCCTGGCTGATCTACTCGGGTTATTCTGTATTTTTGCCCATTTCCATATGTGGGTTTCTTGTACTAAATTTTTGGTTTATTCTTCCTAATTTTTTTTTTTTTGGATTTTGTTTTGGTCCATCTTCATCCCTTTTATTATACGATCAGTGGAAATGTGACCATTTCTTTCTTGTTTATATCTGAATATCCAGTGCTATCACATAATGGAATTTCAATGAGTGCTTATTGGAAATTAATAAATGAAGAATTGAATTCAGGTATTGTTTATTAGTAAAAGTTTTCTTTCAAAGAAGGTCAGACGAGCTTTAAGAAGCAGGAAGGAGCTAAGGAGAGGGAGACGCTGAAGCTAAAGAAGGAATAGTAGAGTCAGGGGAAGCAGGAGGCAGGGGATCAGCCACAAGGGATGGTGGACCCCCAAGGGAGCAGACACCTCTTGGCTCTGAGAGAGGAACAAAGGCGAAGATACTGGGGTTGGGGAAGCAGCACATGGGAGCGCAGGACGTGGAACTTGGGAGAAGCCGTTTGTAGCTGCTCTTATTGCAGGTGACTATCCCTGGGACTCATTACACTCCAGGGTGTCTGCCCAGTTTCTTATCTGTCTTTAGAGCAAGTAGGTAGGAAAGCCAAAGCCAAAGGCATGTCTCTCCTCCTGTGTGTCATCCGTGTGTCCACAGTGCCTGTCATAGGGCCTCACAGATAGTAGTTGCTTTATGAACATCTGGTGAAATGAATGAATGTAGTCTGAGAAGTGGTATTGTTGAGAAGTGGTCAGAACTGTGAGGGGGCTTGGAGTTCTACAAAGTATGGATGTGGTTTGGATCTGCAAAATGTGGTAATGGCTCACATTGAGGTGACTGCTAAATCTGTACAAATACCATACTAAGATACCAGTCAAAGTGATATAATTTTACTTCATTGTAGAAAATATTTAATTTTCTCTAGCAATGCTTTTCACACTCATAGAAAAAAAAATTAGAAACCCCATATGCAAACAAACTGTTAGTCAGTGTAGTAGCTGAAGAGAAGCCTTGGGAGAAAGGAAAGAATATTTTGACTTTCTAAAGCACTTTGTTGACTAGCAGAGGGGCAAGTTAGCAGAGAATACTCTGTGAGACCAGAGGAAGGGAAAAGGGTCGCACTGCATGTCTCTGAGTCTAGGACCTCTAGATTGAAAGATGCATTATTATTTGTACACCACCAAGAAAAAAGATGTTACCATTTAGATTCAGGCATAATGTTCAGACACAAAGTTTTCTTATCACTATGTATGTTTATTTTACACTTACTAGGAGAGTTCTTCTAAACTT